TATTTCTGTGGATTCAAATACATAAGAATATCAAAATCACAAGCTCTTTATTTCAAAGCACTAAGCCTAATTCACTTGTAAATACTTTGAATTTGCATGATAAATCTTAACTCCTAATACTTGTGAATCAACTTTTGTTCCTATGAATATATTTATTTTGAGCTAATATTAAAATATTATGCTTACAATAAATAATTAAATGATACAGTATGTTTTTATATGCTATAAAAAAAATCATGCACCTGCCATACAGGTCTTTTCAAATGCAAGATTTTCAAGACATGTTTCAAGAGACCAATACCCACAGACTAACTGTAGCTTTAAAGTAAAGTGTCAATCTTTAGAATAAGCAACATCAACTTTCCTATTTTTAAACTACAGCACACAACATCAAATGTTTAGCTTATCATCTTTTGATTTGACAAATGTGAGATACACTGTATTGAATGATATTGTACCGAAACTGACGATTTACGACTAGGATTGGTTCAAACTTTTACAACTGAGGTTGAACATGCTCAGATACCATTTTATGAAGGAAAAACACTAGAAGAAGGTTTAAATACAAATCACAGATTGGAGGAGAAGCCATAAAGTAAAAAAAGGAAATTTTAAAATAATATTGAAATGTTTTACCTTAGAGAGCAATTTTTACAGCCTGAAACATACTTTAGAATTTTTTTGTTAAATATCTCTTTAAATATAATTAAACAAAATAATTCTGATGAACAAATTTAATATTATAGGATTACTTAAAAAAAAGAAAGAAACAAATATAATTTCAAATAAATTCTCTGGTCATTGTAATAGAGTTAAATAAATTTTATCTTTAGTTATATTAAGATTCTGGCTAATCTTGTTCTTCAGACTATATATTGGAAAGATATTTTGCTTTATAAATTGTTGCATTATTTGACACAAAAAAAAACAGGTATAAATGGTAATGTAAATCCTTGTTTCTTGATTATATTAGGAAATGGTATTAAAAAAAATACTATTAACAGATGACGTGAAATTCTTTAAGTTAAATTGTAAGTATGTTTGATAATGTGGTTTTTGTAAGTGTATGTATAGGTCTTAACTCATGAAAAATATTGCATTCCTGATGATAACACAGTAATATGTCAAAACATTTAGTGTATGAGACTGTTCTCAGTCTCACAGTAGTTTATCTTTAAATAGTAAATTATTAAATTAAATACTTTTTTTTATTATTGTATTTTGAGACTGGGAACAGTCTCATTTTGAAATATTTATTGTGAACTATTAATTGTTGGCTTTATTTCTTGAACACATCTGTGTGAAGTAAGTCAATGACTGATCAAGACACTTGTGAATGATAACAGTACATACCATATCATAATGAAACACATAATTCAAGATCACTGATCATATTGGCAAAGTATATTACATATCAATATAATTTCATGCTCTAAAATGCATCTAATCAGCAAATAAATGTCAGTTCTTTTACGTGCATGGGACTTAGTAGTTTATTAGATAAATATCATAAGGAAAAACAAATAAAAAAATTAGTGCTAAATTTAGTTGGAAATTTGAACAGCTTCAAAATCTCTTGGAACAAAAGATCTACATATGTATAGAACACTGTTTTTATACCATTAACTACTGATGAGATCTACGTAATGCATCATATTAAAAAAATTGTATACTTTGCTTGTTAAAACATTCCATGTCAAAACTTGCCAACAAAATTATGTGAAATAATTCACATATTATGTAAAATACATGCGTATATCAGCAGTTGTAAGCAAGATTAATTACAATGTTCATGGTACTTTTGCTGTTTTTGTGTATGTGCCTCATATGTTAGTAGGCACCTTGTTGCTACAAAGTCAAGGACCCACAAGCAATTCTGTGCATCTATAATTTAGTAAATTTTTTTTAAAAAAGCTACTGACATGCATCCCTCACCCCATCAGTAATTTCGTGGTTAAAAATTAACTTAGAAACAACTGATGTATAGGGTCCTAATAAGGATTTTAAAGAAGGTAAAATTACTTTTTAAAAAAACTCAAGTTTGTTAGAAATAAATTAATATAAGAATTAGGAAAATAATGTAAGCTATATCAAGACTGGAATAACTTGATCCCACATTTCTGTTAACTATGCAGGTACTGTTACTAAATCAAGATCACAAGCAATGTCGTCTTTAAAATATCTCACATTTTCAATTTTTACTGGGTGTTAACCAATAGAATTTTTTGAGATATTAGAATTATTGTTGAAGCTTGGCCCTTTTTTTTAGTGAACTTTTCTAATTGTGTTCTTCAGGACCATAGTCAGTTAGTTGGTGTAGTGGCTACTACTGTAGCTCATGAGCTGGGACACAACTTTGGAATGGAGCATGATACAAGTGAATGCCAGTGTCCAGATGATAAATGTATTATGGCTTCAGCTTCTAGGTAAGATAATTGGAAGGATAATATTCTTTTGCCAGTTGATGTTTCTGTTTGATATTTTTTATGGATGAATGAAAACCATGCTATTATGGTTCAAAGAGAAGTAGCTTTAATATAATGCCAGAAGAGATAAGAATTATTTCCTGAAAATTGAAATACAATAAGAAATACGACTTTTAAAATCGACATTGCTTGTGATCTTGATTTAGTAACAGTACCTGCATAGTTAACAGAAATGTGGGATCAAGTTATTCTAGTCTTGATTTCAGTCCTTAGTTCTTCAGAAAATCTACCAGTCTTAAAATTTATGACATGTGTACGTTATACACATACAGGTAAGTCAGGCCTACAAGTGGATTTATATTAAGTTATATATAAGTGTTTTTTTTTAAATACTGGCAAAAATTACAAAGAAAATATAGGTAAATATAGAAATAAGAAATTTAACATCTACGCAGTTAAGATGTACCTTACGATGTTCAATAATCAAGCTGATTCTCCTATATTTTCATTATCACACTATTTTGAGTCACTCACAAAATCTAAACAATTCATTTCCTACGATGTTTCTGGCAACAAGTAGTTTGTTTGAAAAACATGAAATATGTCCATAACGCTCATTGATTCAACAGGTTAAGAATTTGCATCTATATTTTTTTTATGTAATTCAAAGATACATAGACATTTCAATATTAACACTATACTCCATGACTATTCCAAGGTCAAATCACAAAAATACATCAATGCATATCAGTAAAGCTTCTTCAGCTAACATGTTTATGGAGGGGTGGGGGAAAGATACATTTAATCATTACATGTTAGAATGATAAATTAGTATAGATCTTTGTTCCCAATGATAATTCAACAAATTTCTCAATATAATCTTGGAAAACAAATCTAATCTTTGTTTAAAATATGGGAATTTTTAAAATGAAAGGAAAATTACAGGAATATCCCATAAAACCAGACCCAACTTCAAGAACTGATAAGTGTATACACTAAATCTGTTCACATTTCAATAAAAGATACCACAACTTACCATGTTTACACCACCAGAATATTGGTATGTACAGATTGGTCCTTTTAAAGCTTTTCCCACAACACCACCGTCAAAAGCCATTCCTCTGAAAAAAATAAAATACCAAAAGAGAAAATAAGTTTCAGTAAAATCACTGTCAATATATACAACAACTAAAGAAAATAATCGAGCCAATCTTATCATTTAGTAAACAAAACTGAACTGAGTTTACCGCAGTTCATAAATCACTTTAAAAAAACCATTAGAATTGTTTACTTAACCTATTGAAATCAACCTAATGTATTACTCTCTTTCCTTTAAAATGTATATATGTAGAATATGAACCAACTTGCGTGTTTGTCAAATGTCAGATGCATTTACTTTTCTGTAGTTAAATTTATTTTAGATTTTAAATAGAGAACTTTTGGATATTAAGATAAAACATTATTCAAATGTCAAGGAAAGAGGGATTTTATTAATTCAACAGCATTCTTTTGTAAATGTTCATAAAATAACATATCACTACCTGAAGAGAAACATATTGTCCTGAAAAAACAAAAGTGAATGATGAATTATAAAAAACAAGTATGTTCAGCTTGAGAAGTCTACAATTAATTTCATAAAACTCGCAATCTTTATCATATATTTATTCATTCAGATAGCCAAATCATTTTACTTGAAAACCACAAACTGGTTAAAAGTTTTTCTTCAGATAAAAACAGAATTTCAGTTTTGTAAATTTAATTCCCTTTGTTAGGACTTTCAACAAATACGTGGTGAGTTTGTTTACTCTTTGCAGCTTCAAACAGTTTTATTTTTAGTAAAAGTATTTCATGTTGCGAATCTGAAGTTGATTATAATATATGAACATTTTATGCATATTTAAAAAACAGAGAAATTGCTTACGTAACAAGCTGTGCATTATCGTTGGGGTGATCTCGAACAAGTCGTTCACGGCGATAGTGAAGAAAATTTGTAAGAGTGGTGTCTCCATCAGACGACAAGGTTATCTCATCATGTTCTGACCAAACAATTACTCCAACCAAAGCAATGTAAATATTTAAAGGTAAATAAAGCTGGAAAGGTAAAGGGAGCTGGTTAATTTTACTTATTTAAAACAGAAGCACTGAATAAAAACTGAAGAAGTGTAAACCTTGTTACTAGGTGTAAATATTTGAGATTCAATAGAATTTAAAAGTTTAATACAAGTTGATTATTTGCATATTTTGTGTGTGTGTGTGTCTGCACGTTCAGCTATATTATTCTCATTAAACCTCAAGCTACTGACTTATTTTTAATACTTTTCACTTCTGGTAAGTTCTACTTATTGCATGATATAAAGTCATCTTATATTTTTGCCTTGTTATAACACTCAGTGTAAAGAACTTAACAAAATATTGGATTAAATCACTCATTTGTTATGTAAAAATACGTATAAGATCCTAACAGTAATTAGTAGGATTAATCACAATACTGATTATATCTTTTTCCCTCTTGGATATGACTAACATGTTATTATCCATAAACAACAACTGTATGGGCACCATACTCAATTTTGTGCACAAATAGCATATAAAAATGTGTTTTGAAAAAACTGAAGGTGGTTCTATGGTTAATGTAAATTCACAAGGAATGAATAATAAAAGTAATGGGCACAAGCCATTACTTAATCGTTTTGATTTATCAGAACATTTTAACATACATCTTAATTCTGTTGGAAGATTAAATGGTTTGTTTGGTTTATGCAAAAAACTACATTGCTTATTTACAGCAAGCAATTTTTTGATAAATTTTGAGTGATGGTTTTTTATAAGAGAAAAACTATTCTGATTAGCAGTTGTTATATTTTTAGCAACATGTTATTATCCTTAAAGTATTAAGTTAAAAAAAGTTTTGAATAAATACAATGCCAATCTGTAAATCTGTTTATGGTAGTAGCTTCTTTTTTTTTTCATTTTTCTTTAGTACCTTCAAATACTATTTCTGTAACTGACAGCAAAGTGTATGAAACGTTACGGTTCAGCAAGTTAACTTCCAAAAACTTCCAAACTTACCCCACTAACAATGTTTGCAATTTCCTTACTCCTTTCAAACACCAAATCTTTGTCTTTTTTCATTTCATTGAACTACATATAAAAAAACACAAGTTCAGTAAAATATTTTTGAGAAAATTACAAATGTTTTTATCTTATTTTTGAAAGCTTAAAACACTTTGGCAGCTTCGAATTTGTAGTTTGTTAGTTTTTCTGAAAATTTATAAACCACAGAATCTTCACTATTCTAAGTTAAAAGTAGCTCACGGTTAATAGAAAGCATATATTCAAACTTCCTCTTCAGTGGCTTTCATTCTGGGATACTGACTTAATGTTAGACTGTATTCTTCATGCCACATTTCTTAAAACACAAAAGTTATCACTAAAATTGTTCAGTCAGTCTAATATTTATATTTTGTGAGAAACCAATGTTGTCAATATGACAATATATTTATTATATATATATCATAATATAAAAAAATAATAATTCATAGCCACCATAACATCACAAGTATGAAAAATGTACACACACAGCTCATACTGAATTCTCATAACACAATACTAATTATGATGACTGTAATGTAACTAGCATTATAATTTATACATGCGATTTTATTTGTTAATGCATAATTCAATTTCCAATTGTATAAATACACTTTAGCTATGTTTGTTGGTATTTAAGGATTCATTTTACTGCTACATTTAGCACTCTAAATACACAACTTTTAATTCAAGCAGACATTTAAAATTCTCATTATTACTACTTCCACACACACACGTGTACTTCTTGTACTTGAAACATTTTATTCCCTCAATACGTGGCAAGAACATAATGAATAATCATGTGTAACATTTATCGATTCCTAGAACATAGTTTAATCTGCAAGTACATACTGCTGAGGCTGGCACAGAATGAAGCCTTTCAGGTTGGAAAGCATAATGAAACAATACTATGCAGCAGCTATAAATCTTTAACAACACAGTTATAGATTATCGAAACCTTATTAAGATTTTAAATTCCACTTGCAAACTTGACTATTTATTTGCATGTGTGAAATAAAAATAATGAACAGATTAGACATTAACTCTATAAATGAAATGTTACTTATTTCTTCCTCTTATTTTTTTGTTAGAAGATACACAAGTTATAACTTCTACAGATTCCCTAAATACTGCGATGGATTCACGCGTAAGACTATTTTAACACTGTTTTTCTGATTCAGTAAACAAACAATTTAGTCTCCATTATAAGGAACCCAATTAATGCTAATACGTGAAATTTGGTAACTTGACTTTATTCTTGTATGACCAGTTGGCACTTCTTCCTCCAATTTATATTATCTAATCATTCCCTTCAACCAGGATACCTTTTTTTGAATATAGTATAGTGACTGATGACTAGCTACATTGCAATGTAAAATATCATTTTAATTCCAATTTTCTGTAAAATAGTTTACGGATCTTGATTTACAACTTACTAAGAAGTCATAAGATTCTTTACAAGGAAAAACACACTATTCTTTAATAAGAGATGAAGACTTTAATGAGAACAAATATAAGGTTTTTTCATCTCCATTTAGAGTAGCTTTAGCAGATCTACTTATTTCATTTTGAATGATTTCCTCTGGACATTATTGGAAAACTATATCTATATTTCAACAAAAGTTAGAGAGATTAAAACTTGTGTAACTCATTAAAAACAATGAAAAAAATTATAACAGAAGCAGAGTTCACAAAAGAGAAATACAAAGATTTTCCACAACTTTCTCCAGGACTTTTCATTCCTGCCACCAAAATTAAACTTGCATTTAATTTGCTAGCATTTTTGCTTAATCAAATGTGGTAACCAGCAGAAATTGCAGCTGTCTTAGGCCTTGCAAGGCACAAGGTTTATAACAGTTGATACAAAATATATATCCAATTCCAATAACCAACATTTTTTTTTAATTTTTTTTATATTAAGCCAACAATCTCATGAGGAATTTTTTTATTGAAACAGAAATTTCACTGCTTTTCCAGGACCATGACTTAAATTGTTTTATTTTTTTCCAGGATTTCCAGTACTCAAAATATTACAGCCTATATTCCACAACTATGTAGGATTTCAAAAATATTTGCAAATTCTGCCAAAGAAACCAGTCACGAAGATACTGCAGATGAAGATCTATGTAAAGTCTTTTAAAGTGATGCTGTTGTGCATCATATGTAGCTACATAATTACTGGGCATTAGATGCCTGGCTTACATTTAGTTACTGAAGTATAAGTACTACTAATAGTAATTCATCATGAAAGAACCTAAAGAAGTCAAGATTTCTCAAACATAGTCCAAAGAAAAGTGAAAATGATGACAGTGTGTTACATTTACACCATTGCCTGAAACATTTCTTAATGAACACCAGTCTGTAATTCTATGATAAAAGAAATATTACCTATGAATAAAATTAAGCAAATCTTTAAATTTTATCATCTTTTACATGAGTTTTGATTTAGAAGTTTATACTTATATCAAATCAGGTCTGCTCCCAAACACATTCAATAAATCTAGACTAGTTTGATGACGAGGAACCCACTTTGAGACTAATAATGGCTGGAGATGTCTTGAATGGGTAATGAAGAAAAACTTTAATATAAGTTTAACATAACAGCAAATGTACAACGTTTTCGACAAGGTTTTGAAGACAAATGATGACCTGATGATGACAAAACCTTGTCGAAACGTTGT